CGCCGGCCGCCGGCGCCGGGTCTGCGCGAGCGAGCGGAGAGAGCGGCGCCAGCGACCGGGCTCGGCGACGTCTGACACCGAGCGCACTGCGCATGCGGGAGCGGCCGGGCCCGCGCCCCCTGCTGGACAGGAGGAGCCAGGGCACCGCGTAGGGTTTCTCCCAGGCAGGAGCGCGAAGCTCAGGCTCCACCTTAAAACTTTGTCCCGCAGAGACCTGCAGCCTTATTCATAATTAAAGAAACTGCAGGCCCAAGCAGCGAAGCACCATGCTTCACTTATAAAACTGACACAAATGTAAACGTTTTATTACAGTGAGTAGTGGTGCAGCATTCCCGGAGGGCAACTGGGCCATATCCATCAAATGTAAAATGCCCGCAACCTTTCCACCAATCCCTCTGTATGTTTACCCTACGGATATTCTCAACAGCGTTTACCAAAAATACTCATTACACCGTTTTTCCAAATAATAGCTAAAAACTGGAAACAAGCAAAATGAACTATGGTAAAATTTATAGTAATCAAAATAAATTATGACTAAAATGGAATCATGTGAGAATGCATATATATGTCGGTACAGAAATATCTCGAAGGTGTGTGAATATGGAAGCATGCTCTAAAACTGAGTAAATATGGTCTTTTCCATAAAATTATGTATATGCAAAATTAGGAGAGAGAAAATATACATGCAGATGTTTATATTTCAAGCGTATGTATAATATTTTTTTCTGGAGGGAATCCAAGAAGCAATGAACAGTTTTGGAGGAATAATGGTGGAGATAGAAATGGGGGAAAGAGATTTTGTTTTGTTTCTTTCCGTATTATTTACATGATCTAGCTTTACATATGCACATATGCACAGCAAAACCCCTGTCATAAGGCATAAGTGAAGCCTAAAAAAAATCTATCAAAATGCAGAGTGCTGTAATTGGGAGGTTAATGAGATGACCCCACAGAACCCGTGCAGTTTGCAGGTAATAGTCCGCAGAAGCCAAATCTGTTCTGGGCCCAGCTATCCCATAGCGCCATCTAGTGGAAGCTGTTACTTACAGCTTATGTAATCAGGGAGTAGATTCTGA